GGATATTAAGCTAAGTACCGCAAAATTATCTATATTATTTAAAAAAAAAAACCAAAATACTAACAATTAAGTCATCACAAAATTATTTTTATTGTAGAACAGTGAAATCGAACAAAACATATTCAATTATTGCAAGGTCATCGATCTTTTGTAAGCGTGAGCAATTTCAATTCAAACCGACGTTCTGAAGTTACAAATCACGCTTCAAGATACTTACGTACATGTGAAGCTGATGAAAGCGTTTAAAAAGACCTATTTTGCGGTAGGCAGCGGCTTGGTTCTGCCCTGTTGAAGGCCATGGGCGACAGTAACTAGTCACCATCAGGTGGGCCGTATGCTCGTCTGCCTACAAGGGCAATAAAAAAAAATCGCCCGTGCTCACCACAGCTTGCCTTACCCTTACCTCCTTGTGTCGATAATCCTCAATGCTGAGGGTCGTGGCCTCATGGGGCTTTCTTGGGATAATACACATGGCGGGGTCCCGCGTCCTTCCACGGCAGCGCTTTTGGAAGAGATTTAGTTCTTCGAGGCCGCTGATGTCTTATTTTTAACTTTTATTTAACTTTTCCTGGACTATCCTGCCACAGCCCTGCCTATCTTCGGCTGCGCGGATGGCATTGTGGACTGAGGTGTTGAGAGTAGAGCGTATTTGGCCCGACCAGCGCACTTGAAGTCGTCGTGGCCTAAAGGATAAAGACGTCCGGTGCATTCGTGTTGAGCGATACAACAGTGTTCGAATCCCGCAGCCGGGTACCATTTTTTCTAATGAAATACGTACTCAACAAATGTTCACGATTGACTTCCACGGTGAAGGAATAACATCGTGTAATAAAAATCGAACCCACAAAATTATAATTTGCGTAATTATTGGTGGTAGGACCTTTTGTGAGTCCGCGCGGATAGGTACCACCGCCCTGCCTATTTCTGACGTGAAGCAGTAATGCGTTTCAGTTTGAAGGGCGGGACAGCCGTTGTAACTATACTGAGATCTTAGAACTGATATCTTAAGCTGGGTGGCGCATTTACGTCGTAGATGTCTAAGGGCTTCGGTAACCACTTAACACCTGGTGGGCTGCAAACTCGTCCACCCATCTAAGCAATAAATAAAAAACTTGACTTCTGCCTTCTTCCCCGTACCTTGCCTTTTCTATCTTGCCTTACCATTCATATTCAAAATTATCATCATCTGAGGCATTATAGATTTAGCTTACTCCAATTAAAATTCAAATTCAAAATGCCTCTTCAATAAAGATGATCAACGCTCCAATTACGTCATTGGTCTTGCCCTTAATCCCCAAACGAACTGTTACTCACGAATGAACGAATGTAGCACTCGCACTTGACACTCATACTTGTAGCACGCCTACACTGAACGATGCATTACAAACAACTAGACAGGGCTCGTATTTGATATATTATATTTCTAAATTTTTGATAATTCTTTTGATACGAACAAAATTAATACTTATTGTTCGTTTGTTTGCTCCACTTCTATTTTTTGGTCCGTCGTTCATCTAATAAAGTTGATAATTCGTTTAGATTATTCTTGAAAAAAGATTTAAGAACGTATTTCAAAGTGCTTCAATTGTCCGAGTGAATCAATGCTCTATGGTAGGCAGCGGCTTGGCTCTTCCCCTGGTATTGCTGAAGTCCATGGGCGACGGTAACCATTCACCATCAGGTGAGCCGTATGCTCGTAAAAGAGCAATAAAACAATGCGCTTTTTTATGAAGTAAGGATTACTGGTGACCCGAAGGCCTTTCCAGTGTCACCAGGACAGGTGGGCGAGCAAAGGCTCAGCCAGGGAATCAATGAGCTGAAATTGTTTTAATGTCCAGAAAGACAATACCTCAACACTGTCATCTGGAGATCCTATTTGGAGGAGATAAGGCACAATAACAATACTAAAAGTATGTTTCGCGCAAAACGACAGTGAAAGGCCAAATCCCAACACCCCAGGAGTGTTGACAAAATTCTACATATATGCTCCCTTCTTGAATACTGTAACCCAGGTTTGAGGTATTCCCTTTGCCCTACATCGTTGTGGCCGCAACTTATAAGTTCAATCGTCACAATCTGCCAAATGACAAGTATACAAGACACTTAGAGGCTTCTAGATTAAGTCCCCATAGGACCTTCATTCCATACAGAACCTTCATAGACGAAAAAAGACCCTATATTTAATAAACGGTAATAAAATAAAAAGTTTAAAATATAGATCTATATTATTTAATCAACTAAAACTAATAAATTTGACGTTTCTAAAATGAATATGGCTTACAAACTAATTTTATGTGGTATTCAACAATAGTGCAAAAAGGGTCTAATAATAAACATGATGTCAATTAGGACATTGTGTTTTGTCTCTTTCAATTGCAAAGGAATGCTGATTGACTATGTAAAAGACGAAAGACGTTATCTTTTCTTATTCTTCAGTGGACGAGCTCACGGCCCACCTGGTGTTTAGTGGTTACCAGAAGCTAAAGTCATCAACTACATTAATGCTACCCATCTTGACACATGAGTTCTAAGGTCTCAGTTTTATATTACAACGGCTGCCCCACCCTGCAACCCGAAACGCATTACTACTTCACGGCAGAAATAGGCAGGGCGGTGGTGCCTACCCGTGCGGACTCACAAGAAGCCCCACCACGAATAAAGAGTAATAATACATGATGAAAGTTTTCTAACAAAAAAAACTAAATACGATATTACCTCTCATTTACTCTTTTTAATACGCTTTTATTAGCTTCAGATGTATGTATGTTCGTATGTAACGAAATCTTTGAGCATGATTTTGACCCCCTCCAAAACGTCGGATTAACTCGAAATTTGGTATACTTAATAAGCACCGATGACAATTCAATATTAAAAAAATTTTGAAAAAATCAAAATTCCACTAAAAAATGAAAAATAAATAATAGTTTAAAAAAACTAACAAAATATGCTTCTATAGAAAATCCAACTAAAAAATAGAAAATAAATTTTAATAAATTTGAATAAAAAATAGTATAAGAGAAAATGATTTTATTGTAAAAAAGCGTATTTTTCTATAAAAGCGTATTTTGTTAGTTTTTTATACTATTATTTATTTAAGTGATAAGTTCTATAATATCGTTGTCATTCAAAAATCGTTGGAACAGATATGACAATCGATTAGTGACTCAAGGAAGATACAAACATGCTTCTGTACGACTAAACCTGCGAGAGAATGTGATAGAATATTTCTAGACGTTTCAATTCTAGTGCGTCTGAACTGCACATGTGTTTTTCCCAAATTCGATTACTTTGCTTATAGGTAATTAAAAACCGTAAAATGAAAATAGTTTTTTAATTACTTGTGTATAGTATACATACGTTGGGGAAGGCCTTTGTCCAGCACTGGGCTGATAAAGGCTGATGATGATGATGATGATTATACATACGTCATTAAGAAGTGAAAGCCCTTTTATTTTTAAGTCGCTTAAAAATTCTAGTCACATTTATTCTATGGTTCTGGCATACAATTTTATACTACATATAATACAATTATAATTAACAACTATAATATAGTATATAATATATACTCGTATAACTATATAATTAATAAACAACTTATTTGTGTTGACTAACAAAATAATTGTTACAATAAGCAAAATTGACTTGCGTCAAAATTAAATTCTTACTATAATACAGGACAGGTACTTTGCATAAATGTACAGTAAGTACCTGGCGATAAATATTGCACATCGGCCGTGGGAAAGAGACGGTTAATTTTTGTTTCGTAGAGCGTTATATCTGTCGCACATTACCTAATTGACATTTAGTCTCCATAGACACCGGATCGTTAGTGTTTCTTCGCACACGGGTAACGCTCTACAACAAAAACAAAATTAGACGACTGTCTCTTTCTAAATATCGATGTGCAGTATTTATTGCCTGGTACTGTAAAGAGTGTGTGCGCCGGGCCTCGGTTCGCAAACTGTGGAAAACATCTGTTAAGGCTTTAATGAGCAAGAATTCCACATGACCACGACTGCTCTGCCAAGAGCAACCGATTATGATGATGATAACTGTAACTAGATACTTTATGGATTTTTCAACAGTTTGCTCAACTGAAAACCGCATTTAACACATTTTTTTATTAAAAAAATTGCCGTTGTTACTGCCCTCTATAGTCTAAGGCTCTCAGGCAGCAGCTAATTCCATTTGACACCGAAGAGAGAGTTGTTGATCGAATCTCAATGTCATTGTCAATGTCAATCAAACCTATAAACCCTAGTCTGTTGAACAGTTGGATCTAAAAACTTTAGTTACTGCTTTGTACCGATATCGGTGAGGAGTGCTCTATGCAACTGTCTCTGGTGCGAAACTCCTCCAATTTGGAATTAAGGAACCATTGTTCTTCTCCAATGTGTACTTCGATCATTATTACCGTCCAGCTCTTTGATAAATTACGCTCGTATTTCTAGCTTTGTGGCAAATATGACTAAACGAGATTTTGAAGTCACATTTTTTTGGATTAACTTGAATTACCTTGAAATGTTTAATAGTCAGCTCATCATCGCCGAAGACCACAGGAGACAGTGATAAGTATAAGGCACAAGAGTCATTGTCATTCACAGGAACCTAACAATTATTACTTACTAGCGACCCGCCCTCGCTTCGCTTCGGAAACTGTAATTTATTATTTATTTCTCCACTATTTAATGGATGTTATTATACATATAAACCTTCCTCTTCAATCACTCTATCTATTAAAAAAAACCGCTTCAAAATCCGTTGCGTAGTTTTGAAGATTTAAGCATACATAGGGACAGAGAAAGCGACTTTGTTTTATACTACGTAGTGATATCAAATTTAGTATCATCAATAAAGATACGTCGAAGTTTTTAATGAATCGGTACCTCCGATTCCGCCAACTTTTTGATGATTTATATCGACCAGCGCGCACACCTGCCGCTGACGATGTTTCTATATTAATTGAATACTTTCGCACTACCGACAGATATTCNCATACATAGGGACAGAGAAAGCGACTTTGTTTTATACTACGTAGTGATATCAAATTTAGTATCATCAATAAAGATACGTCGAAGTTTTTAATGAATCGGTACCTCCGATTCCGCCAACTTTTTGATGATTTATATCGACCAGCGCGCACACCTGCCGCTGACGATGTTTCTATATTAATTGAATACTTTCGCACTACCGACAGATATTCCAATATTGATAGCATTGATTTTCCAATTAATTGAACAACTGTAACGCGCAGATAGATTGATGAAGTGTCTGAATAACTTGACACGAAAATTACTGATGCACTATATCGCTGACTGTTAAAAGTGGCGACGACAACTATTCAGCCCTCAACAAGCGACTTCAAGAGTTTGCCTATGTTCCAATTTATTTCTCAAAAGTACATTAGTTTCGTATGAAATTAAAACAATAACAGTCTTTAACGTAAATAGATTTTTGTCATTAAACGCATAACAATATTGATTAAGTGACATTTAAATGGATCAATAAAATCTCTAATTGGCACTAAAACAAAACAAGTAACTAAACTTAATTCAGTGTACAGTTGTAAGTGGTCTCTACTAATCTATAAAGAGCTTTATTTGACGTAAATAATAAATTGTTTTTATTATCAAACGCCATAGCTCCTATAGACGGTAGATGTGCTATTTTAACAACTTTAGAATCCACTAGATTCCATTTGACTATCACCTTGTATATTCCATCGATCCACCATGCGTATACTTCGCCATCTAGATCAACAGTCAGACCTCTGAAAAAAGGATTCTTGGATACACGATAGACAGTCTTGTCCCTGCCAACAAACAAACCGAAACTATTCATGAAAACTATTATGTCAGTTTTGTGGATAACAAACTTGTTTACCGGCACATATTCTAGAATGGTCTTAAAGTAATCGCCTTTCTTTACAACGATGCCTCTGTCGTTGTATCTGACGAAGTAAACGTTGTTTTTGTAGAATATGCTCTCGATCGGATCCCCGCGACTGCTATAAGGGAGGAGTTGACTGGAGCCCGTGTCCAATACAAATATTCCGTCATTACCGCCCAAGTAAACCAAGGATCTGTCTTGATCGATATCAAAACTACCGAAGTTCATTACGTAGTTTGGGCTATTGATCACACCCGTTTTCTCGGGCGCGTCCAAGTTAACGAACCCAATTTTGTAATACTCGAGATCTTCTATTCTCGGCTCGAAACTGTAGAACAGAACATTCTCAGACCTTAATATACCAATTTTGGTGATGACGATGTTATTTCTGAAGGGCGCATCTAGGTCTAGTAGATAAGTAGCGTTGTAACACGTTTTATTTACGAGCACGCACGTCGTACATTGCACGCTGACTTCGACGTCAATGGATGATACCGAAGAAATCAGTAAGATCGTTATTAATATCATGTTGCTCCTGTAACAATAGAGATTGCGATGTATAATCAAACTTGTTTTTTTCCCTACCTATTCTGATAACTATTCTGATAATTGAGAGGCTATTTCAGCTTTTCCTTGACGTGTAGGTGTTGCTAACATCAGCCCTAGCAAGAGCAGGGCTTCGCAGAATCTACCACCGGATCGGAAACGCGACCCACTGAGAAGATCCGGCGAGAATCTCAGTGGGCTCAAACTTGGTGTTTCCTGGGATGACATCAGGCCGAACGCCCACTAGGGCTAGTGTCATCGTTTCTTTAAAAGGGTCTCGCATGTGGTTTATAATGAATTAGATTACGAGTAATGTGTACTATTTGATGCGACATTTTGATATCAAGTTCAAGTTTGATAAATAAGATAATATAATATAAATACTTAAGTTAATGCCGCTACCTAGCATATAAAAATAGATTGAATTCGCTATTGCATTAGTGTTACAGCTGATTGGTCTTCAAACTAGAGAGCTTGATCCATAGCAGATATGGACAGAACAACGGCACTTAATCATCCTGGATTGTGTACGAGATAATAAGTGGTGGATGGAAGTGGTTAGGAATTTGACTTGTAGTGTCCCATGTCATATAATTTATTTTTAATTGGTTGTTTTTTTAATTATGATTAAAATTACTATTCTGATTCCATTTTATGTTCTTCTTGCGTAGTCTGAAGTATCAAATGCCATAAAACAGTTTATAAATGACAGCGTGATAAATATGAAATCATACTACAAAAAAAACTAGTTTTGTTGTTTATTAGAAAACTGACCCTCTGATTCTCACACCTTCAATTTTCCAAATGGCAATTATAAAATTCCACATGTGACATAAACATTTTATTAGTAGAAAATTTTCAGCTGATGGACACATGCCACACGATATCTTGACGGCAAAGTCAAGCGCTTCAAAAGGCTCTCCGAACCTCGTTTGAAGAAAGATGCGTATTTTTTTTATTGCCCTAGTAGGTAGACGAGTATACGGCCCACCTGATGGTGAGTGGTTACTGTCACTCATGAACGTCTGCAATTCCAGTGTCAGAGTAAAGCCGCTGTCTACCGTTAAAATATATCACAGTGCTTAGGAAATGCCGTAATGCGGAATTAATACCAAACTGGCTTGTTTAAGATTCCTTCCTTATCAAACCGAACTTGACAAGACAAATGCTTAAATACATCAAATATGACACCTAATTGACCGAAAAACGATAAATACTCAAGGACCTATGAGGGATCAGACGAGGACACACAGAAACACAAACTACACCAACCTTGGTAAGAACGCGCCTCTCAGCAGACTAGTTGGGGAATTAAATAATTTGCATTACAAGTATTCTCTGGACGTTTTTGCTGGCACTGTTGACAGTTTTAGACGAGAAGTCTACAACAGCCTTGCTCAATGAGTTTTTTCAATTGAGTAATAGCGTATTTGGTAGTAAATGTGTAATTATGTAAGGTCTTCCTGTAATGTTATATATAGTTTTTTTTTGTTTTTTTATATAATGAACCGCTTTTTTTTCGATGCATGCAGTCGGTACCTGTAATTGTGTTAGCATTTAGTGTGAAATCAATGTATATGATACCTGTAATGTTCTGTGCTGATGTATAACATGTTGGTACACAATAAAAAAATAAAAATATAACACTAAAATCGTATATGCCTTTAAGCACTGCCGTAATCCGGTAACGAACGAAACAACTTTAAGCTCTGACAATGTTTTCATTCTAAAGCTGCTATTTAAAAAGTTTTTCAATAAAACACGAAACGATCGCTGAATAATGCACTTTTTCACTAACTAATGCCCGAGAGCGTAATGAAAAGTTCTTGCGACACAAACGGACTACTGAAAACTGAAACTAGGCGATCAATTTCGCACTGGATTTGTTTCTGTTTCACCTATGCACCATTCCAATCAGACTAACTGCATCTACCAGGGTATGGTCAAAAGGGGCCTTTGCTGTGGGTCAATACTTTGTTTTCTGGAGGTGGTAACGCAAATCCGTAGCCCCACATGGTGTAAAGCAGGTCGGAGCCCATCAGCTTTGATCATAAAACGGATCTTTCACTCTTCGATCTAGTACGTAAGTATTGGGGAAGCTGTCTGGCACTTAACTTGAATTAATGATTCTCGAAACATTTCCTGTAGTGCTAACCGCAACTACAGAGTTCCACTCATGCGGATTAAGCGACTGACCCATGCAATCCATATTATAGACATTTCAGTCTGGTATTGAAAATCCGCACGGATAGGTGTCACCATCCCGCCTGTAGCTATCGGGAAGCAATCATGCACTCCAGTTTGATAGACGTGGCGGCGATTGGCAAACCCATACCCAATTCCACTTGAAACCCGCTCTGTACAAAATCGCACTATTCCAACACAACAGACTTAAAAGCTCTAGTGAGAAATAGAATATGAAGGCTATGTCCTAGATGTTGCCGGATCGATATCGTGACAAGCTTTCGTTAAACATTTAAACAAATTCATGGGCTACTTGCATTTAATTCCGTTTTTTTTTATTGCTTAGATGGGTGGACGAGCTCACAAACCACCTGGTGTTAAGTAGTTACTGGAGCCCATAGACATCTACGACGTAAATGCGCCACCCACCTTGAGACATCAGTTTTAAGGTCTCAAGTATAGTTACAACGGCTACCCCGCCCTTCAAAAACTCATTACTGCTTCACGGCAGAAAAAGGGGCAAGGTGGTGGTACCTATCCACGCGGACTCACGAGAGGACCTACCACCAGGAATTACGAAAATTATAATTTTGCGGACTTTTTTTATTTTTGCTGATAGGACTGTATTGGAACGCATGAATTCTACGATCACGTATTTTGGGCGTAGTCCACAGTACACCGTTTACCTTTGAGAAACTGGGACGAAGTCACGACTGACTAATGCCTCTCCTCTCAAAGCAGGTTGCTTTGATGGAAGAGTTGGCAAGACAGCCCTACGGATTCACAATATAAGCAACCAAAAATACTCAACATAAGATTTTTTTGCAGTAATTAAGTTATTACTGAAGTTTAATATCAAAGTGAATTAACCCTTAAGAGATGAAATTCTTGATTGTATTGTACATATAAGAATTATCCCATATTTCGAACTGGATATTAAGTATTCTTTGGCAAAAATAAGCAATAGGTAGTACTGTATCTACCCATGTAGTTCATTACACGCCTTGACATCAATAGAATTAGAGGTACCTAGTATAGATTAGTATTAGTATAGAGTAGTATTTACGAAAAAAAAAATTAACGATTTTTTAAGAAATANTGATTGTATTGTACATATAAGAATTATCCCATATTTCGAACTGGATATTAAGTATTCTTTGGCAAAAATAAGCAATAGGTAGTACTGTATCTACCCATGTAGTTCATTACACGCCTTGACATCAATAGAATTAGAGGTACCTAGTATAGATTAGTATTAGTATAGAGTAGTATTTACGAAAAAAAAAATTAACGATTTTTTAAGAAATACCCATAATAATTTTTTTTAAATAAATAATAAATTAATATTATTTATTTAAAAATCCGTTTTCGGATTAAATGAATGTGCGTGCGATGAAACGCACAGACAATGTTATACTTATTAATTTAATCTGTGACATAGATATGTACGAACTAACTATAACACAAATCATGACAATAATGCCAGATTATATTCTAAGGTTACACATTGATATTACAAAAACGTTTATATTAAATTTAAAAAAAAATATTCATATCAATTTTTGAACTGTTATATAGACGTTAGTCTTCGTGAGTATTAAAAGTGCAAAGTGTAGTCGAAACGCATGAGACATATTATTATAAATATAATAATAATGAATGAACAATAAAGACTTATTTGGGTTTACTGTAATTTACTAATAAAAAAAACATTATTCTCTTTAATCTCTTTTTAAATTAATTTTTTAAACAGTATTATTATAAAATACCAAACTGAACTACTTCTACCACTCTTCACTGAATGACAGACAGGTGAATCAAATCATCTATTAAAAAAAATTTTTTAAGCTAAAATGTTTCAAGTTTTTAAATACTAAAGGTTTTTCTTTACATAAATTAATAGAGATAAAGACAATTTTTTTAATGTACCTTTTATGAAAACTTCAGGTAGTAATTACTTACCAAATTTTGTTTATATTTTTTTTCCTCGTTCACAGCGCGTGTGTCCACCTGACGTATAGCTCGACGTATGAGAGCACCCGCTCTATTCATTCCACCGTAAATATTTTATAAACACGACTGACCGTGAACGTATAGCGTGGAACTTTTAAGAGAATTCATATTAATTACGTTCAATTGACCTGAAATGCTTTGAATTGCCAATAACTGGAGTATTTTAGTGAGCTATTTTCAATACCACAGGTAGTATAATAGCGCGAGGCCATTTACGGTGTGACGTATGTACGTCTTGCTCCTCGGTTTTATGGTAAATATCCCTGGATTTCATACCACGAGTTTGATAGTAATCAAGGAATCCCCTTCCTCCTTAATTATTCACTCTTGAAAGAATGGTCGTGGTTGATGACGCAGTATTTTCAGCAGCCCCGCGATACGCTTTCTCTTGTTCTAGCCTTCAGCATATCTGTTCCTTTGAAGCATAGAATTTAGTGTCGTAGTATTGATAAGGTCAGTCCAAGATTTAGGTAATCGACTGTAACTGCCTGCCCTCCACCCGTCCCTAATGGTTATATGATGTGGATATATGACAAACAATTGCAATGAAGTCAGTTCCCACTGTCATATGAAGATGACGGCTCTAGACAGCGTAATACTCTTAGGGTTAGCTTAGGACAGCATCTCTTCCCATAGATACTGTGAAGGGCAATTAAAAGATTCACCGGAGAATAAGTATCAGCGTCCTCTGAGCATTATACCAGCACACTGAAATTGCCCACTGACATTTACTGGAGGGACATATTGTAAGCCCACACAGATATGTACCATCACCTCAAATTCCCGCCCTCAAATACTTGGATGCACTGCATTAGGAAACCATGCGAATCACTGTAGACAATTTAACGGTAGGCAGCGCTTGGCTCTGCCTCTGGCATTGCTAAAGTCCATGGGCAACGTGAACCATTCACTATTAGATGGGCCGTATACCCGTCTGCCTGCAAAAGCAATAAAAAAAAACACTTCGGTCTACCTATTCCAATCACAAATCGATTTTAACAATCGATACCATGAGCTCAATCATTCGGGTTGGTATTCAAAAGTCTACGCAGGCAATTTCGAATGACTTCTCTAATATTTTAGTTTTATGTGCATTACGATTGTTTTTTTTTTTATTGTCCACGTTCAAGTCCAGTTCACGCGGTGCTCGCGCGACCAAACCGCGCCACGGTCGATGATCAGGGAGACACAAAGCAATATAAATAACATATCGTGCAATAACAAATCTAAATAGTACAGTTTTATTTGTCACGTACAATGTTCAATAGGATCGTTATTTATACGTGACGTGTATGTATCAGTCTTATTGAAATACTGCATTTTTTTTTTGCTTTGATGGATGCACGAGCTCACCACAGCCCACTTGATGTTAAGTGGTTACTGGAGCCCATAGACATCTACAACGTAAATGCGCTACCCACCTCGAGATATAAGTTCTAAGGTCTCAGTATAGTTACAACGGCTGCCCCACCCTTGAAACCGAAATGCATTACTGTGTCACGGCAGAAATAGGCGGGGCGGTGGTACCTACTCGTGCGGACTCACAAGAGGTCCTACCACCAGCAATTACGCAAATTATATTTTGCTGGTTTGATTTTTATTACACGATGTTATTCCTTCACCGTGGAAGTCAATCGTAAACATTTGTTAAGTACGTATTTCATTAGAAAAGTTGGTACCCGCCTGCGGGATTCGAACACCGTTGCATCGCTTCATACGAATGCACCGGACGTCTTATCCTTTAGGCCACGAAAACTTTTTAAAATTTATGTAGAATCAATCACCAATTTAATGTAGAATACGAATGAAAGTTTGTTAAGAGTTATATTGTATTGATCGTTGCTCTGTTAAAACCGGTATTATCCGGCTTTGCGCTAAAAATATACCGAATATCGTAACTACCCGTGCGTACCAACTATTCAACCGGCAATAACCTAAAATTCTATTTTACCTGCTTTGTTAAACAGAAAAGGGTTAAGTGTTTTGAATACAGATGCTTTTACTTGGTAGGGCGTATCTTGTGAGCTCATACGGGTAAATACCATAAACCTACATCTGCCGCAAAACAACCATGCTTTTTGTATGCTTAGTGCGAGTTTTTTAACGCTCTCGATAGCGTAAAAGTTAACTCAAATTTTTGTATGGAGTCGGAACGTTTGCCTACGTTTGCCGCTAGGGGCGCTTTTCCAACTGCATACAAATTTGAGTTAACTTTTACGCTATCGAGAACGTTAAAAAACTCTCACTAAGCACACTGATTTGATCAGACTGGGCCAGCAGTTACGCTATACAATTGAAACTAAGATTTCTTGTCGCTCAAGATGTGTAGCGGCATTCTCGTTGTGATGTCTATGAGCTCCACTTAACACTAAATAGGTCGTGAGCTTACACACGTATATGCGATAAAACTGTGCTTAACTTTGGGGAAAAACGGTTTAAAATTGTTTAATGAAAAATTCTTGCATGACCTTTACAAAATAAGCTGAAGACTTACTTAATTAGCAATTTCGGTTAGTAATTAATTATGTTCAAAAGTTTAAGATTTTGCTTAAACGTGCTTCGTAAAGTATGAAAGCCCTGTGGGCTGACTCGGCACTACTGATTTTCTGATAAATATAAAAAATTAGCCATCGCGGGAAGGCGAGCAGATGTGAAACAATAATATTATTTTGTTCAGGTAAAGATGAATCATCATCATTTCAGCCTATCGCCGTCCACTGCTGAACATAGGCCTCTCCAATAGATTTCCAGTGTGACCGGTCCATTGCCACCTGCATCCAACGAGACCCAGCGCTTTTTACTAGGTCGTCGGTCCATCTAGTAGGTGGCCGTCCTACACTGCGCTTGCCAGTACGTGGTCGCCACTCCAGGATCTTTCTGCCCCATCGACCGTCCTCTTTTCGTGCTATGTGGCCGGCCCATTGCCACTTCAGTTCACTAATTCTACGGGCTATGTCAGCAACCTTCGTTCTTCTACGGATCTCCTCATTTCGGATTCGATCACGTAGAGAAATGCCGAGCATAGCCCTCTAAAGATGAATAAAAGAAGTTAATAAAGTTAAGTTGGTTAATAATAGGATTAGTTTATATTAAGTTAATAAATGAATAAAGGAAGTTAAAGTTAATAAAAGAACTTTTAAAGTCGTCGTGGCCTAACGAATAAGACGTTCGGTGCATTCGTGTTGAGCGATGCACCGGTGTTCGAATCTCAAGCGGGTACCAAATTTTCTAATGAAATACGTACTCAACAAATGTTTACGATTGACTTCCACGGTGAAGGAATAACATCGTGTAATAAAAATGAAACCCGCAAAAATTATAATTTGCGTAATTACTGGTGGCAGGGCCTCTTGTGAGTCCGCGCGGTTTGGTACCACCACCCTGCCTATTTTTGCCGTGAAGCAGTAATGTGTTTACTGTAACTACATATACTGAGACCTTAGAAATTATATCTCAAGGTGGGTGGCGCATCTACTTGTGCATGTATATGGGCTCCAGTAACCACTTAACACCAGGTGGGCTGTGAGCTCGTCCACCCATCTAAGCAAGAAAAAAAAAGTTTAGAAATTCATGTGGTATAATGAAAAATAAAATATTAATATTAAGAAACAGTCGCTTGCGCATGGCGACGCTTCGCCACACCGTGCACACTACTACATATAAACTGTATATCTACTATCAAATAGCGCGGCAATGCGTCGCCACGGCATACGTCATACGTGGCCACGCAATCGGTTTTACGTGCTGCTATAGATATTACACATCCAAATATGTTGCATGACACATCTTATGATAGCGTTTAAGTTGAAGTCTATATATTAATACGTGAAGCAAAAACTTTGTATCCCTTTTTACGAAAATTGCGCGGACGGAAGAATATGAAATTTTCCACACTTATAGAGAATATAGAGGAGAAGTGCACAATGCTAATATTTTTTTTAAATAATGCATAAAATATGCATTAAATCAATAAAGAAAACATTACACACACTACATACCATGTATTTGACGCACACACGCATGCATACTATTTATTGTCAAACTTTTGTTCTTGACGTCTGTTGTCAAATTGAGGATAGATTAAATATTTTTTGTCTTTATTAATATTTTTTTATAGTGTAGCCTTAGCGAAATTTTTGATTATAGTATGTGTACAAACTTACAATTCCTATTAATTATAGTCGAATTTCGACTACTGCGGGACCTCTAGTAAATATTATTTCTTAGCATTTAAGATTTGCCTAAATTAATTAAAAAGGTCTTATTAAATTAATTTCGTCTGCGTTTGTAATATTTCAAATGATTAAACAACGGCAACGGACAAACAGCGCCTGTCAGCGTTCCCGCGTAATTTCTCAGGCGCCGTACTTTACACAGACACCCTTAAATATTAAGCCGAAATTATGAAAACAAAAACATTTAGCGGATTACGGAATACGGCGCGAATGCAATTCAATTAAATTAGCCGCGGTTTTAATCTCAATATTTTGTTTGAAGAGAACACGATGCTTACGGATTCCGGTTTCAAAGTGTGCTCACTAAGCCGGCGGTCGCTTGGTCGATTGGACATTTAGAAAATTAACTACGACAAAACGTTTTGAAATGTGCCCCTTTCGAGATTCACGTCCCCCTTGATAAATGATAAAGGTTTATGTTGTAAGGCGACAACGTCTGCCCTAAGTTTGACACTAGAACGCGCGAATGCTCGCTCCGGAAAAAATACGTACGGCCCAAACAATTAGGTAAACAATCTATACTGGTGGTAGGACCTCTTGTGAGTACACGCAGGTAGGTACCACCGCCCTGCCTATTTCTGCCGTGAAGCAGTAATGCGTTTAGGTTTAAATGGTGGGGCAGCCGTTTTAACTATACGGAGATCTTAGAACTTATATCTCAAGGTGGGTGGCGCATTTACGTTGTAGATGTCCATGGGCTCCAGTAACCACTTAACACCAGGTGGGCTGTGAGCCCATCCACGCATCAAAGCAATAAAAAAAAATACTAATATTATAAAGCTGA